AATATTGATAAGTCATTCTCTTTCTCATGAGAGCCGACTATCTAGATTTTTCCATCCAATCAATAAATAGAAAGCGTGTGCATAATTTCAAGAGAGGCAAAAATCTCAAAATCTAAATTCTAGCCCCTTTAAGCCAGTTTCCAAGTTTCCTGTACTTTCTCCTTTCTCATAAATCCGCTCTCTCGAGCCGAGTGCCCTTTCGATCGCATTCTCAATGAACTTCTTATGGAATAATCTCTCGTTCACGAAGTGTTCCCTTGAAAATCGCGTTTAGAACATTTGAGAAGTCGTGACAATGGCGCAACCGCGTCCCACACGCACGCACTTCCGGCAACCTCATTTTCTTGGTTTTCATGTCCACTTGCTTGAATGGTTTTTCTGCTTACGTGTGATAGTATTTGGACACTGGAAGTGACTAAGCTGTGCTCTAAGATGATGGCTTTTTTGTATGAGCGTTTTATGCTTCTGTGGGCCCAAGACCGCAGTCAAATTCGTCGTCACGACTTTATAAATGACCTATAGAGTAGCGTCTTTGCGACTGTGGCGTTTTTCGCCATCCATCCAAAGAAGTCGCCTAATGCGTCGCATCGATGCGAAATGTGCATTTGTTTGCATTGCTTTGTTTGGTGACGCGTCGTTCGGCCGAATGCAAGTGTGTTCCAAACTCTCTGCGACACAAAACAACATCGTCGCTGAGTGTCTCGCAGATGACGTGTGCAAAGGGCATCGAAGGAAATTTGACACTTATGGCGGTAATTTTTCGCCTTTTTTTCGGTTTTCGCTGACCGAGTGTTTCGAGAACGTGAGGTGACGTACTCGATTATGGCGAGATGACGGTGTCGTCGTCAAGTGGGGGGGGGAGGCTGTTGTGCCCAAGTGTGTGTGTGACTGACTCTCGTCTTAGCTACTTATAGATGACTGCGCTGGCTCTCCACATATTTGACAACATATGTCTGCTCTGCATCCGCCTAATTAAAATCTATATAACTAGCAAGTTCTCAATTTTTGTTGAGTTTTATATTTTAGTTACCCATGGTTTTCACACAGTGAAGTTAACACAATTTAATGCGAGGATTTTAGTACTTTGCTCTTTTGGCTAATACGTAAGTCTTTCAACAAGGATTTTGTAGAGCTGTAAAAATTCACCTTTAGCGAGTTCATTTTGTATGCTCAAATACGAGCAATCCAAAATTAGGAAATTCAATCAAAAATTGAGAAAGCAGAAAGCTCATTTCATGATAATCACAAAGACTGTTTTTTTTAGCAATTTTCATGCTTTGGCTCAAGTTTGCTATTTTTTCCTTTCTAATAGCTAGTAATCGATAACTAACTAATTTCTAATAGTCTTAGTTTGTGGTAGACGCACCTTATGTGCAATTAATTCCTTAAAAAATATGCTTCCTAGTGGTATCTGATGCAGAAACCATTATGGTACATGGCATGATTTGGTTTTCGATTATATCTCGGTCCTAAAGATGCTTGATTTTAAAAAAATCTGCATTCAATTTTTGGTAGATTTTGACATATTCTGTGTAGAATGTGATGTTACAGAAAGATGTTTATAAATTTTTTATTCAACTTTTCAATTTTTTGAATCAGTTCTTTTGCATCTAATAAAGTACGCTGTCTTACATAACATAGTAAGAACTGTTCACTTGTTTTAACTTTCTGTAGCAATCATCCACGTATTTCGTTACAAGAAATTTGTGCCCACTAATGTTTTACGCTATTCGCCTATCTTATTATTTTGGTGCTTGTATAAGATAATTTGCTTGACTAAATTTTCGTCCCTACACTTTTTTTCCCTTTAAGCTCTTCAACTTCTTCTCCGTGAATTTGAAGGTGCTTGTCTTTCGTCAGCTTGACTGAACCCAAAGTTTTCCGAAACGAGATGATGCCTTGATTGGTTTCGAATTGCGCATTACCTCAAAAAATGCCGCTTATCCTGCTCTAATTGATCCTATTTCTTCGGACACGATTATGAGAACTTCTGAAAATCTGCTCAAGTCAAGCCTCTACCGTATACTCTGATCCTGTACAAATATGGGAACTTGCAGTTTAGTTTGAATTGAAGCACACTGCGTTCTTGGCTCCTGTCGTAGTCTTTGGGTACAAAAAATTGTTTCACACTCTCTAATCACTATCACACCAACTGGTTTATAACCAGAGAATAAATTAATTCTATTCTGTGTTTAGTACTCAAAAACTAATGGCATTAATCATTTGAGTTCCACTTCTGCAATCTCGTTTGCAAAATTGTTCTCTTATAAGCTACTTTACCTGCATAAAATCATTTTGGTGCGGGACGTTGACTTTTCTTTTCTGCCTTTTCCTTAGTTTTGGGTAGTGTGGCTATTCATTCAATTATCTAAGTCATATTACTATACTACATAGTAGCTCTACGTATCTTTTATAAGATCTTACCTTGAGCTTGCGCGTGGAATGGGTTTAGATTGAAAGGTAAGATGCTAAAATTGAAAGGTATGCTTTACTGTGATGAATTCATGTATCATTTATTTTATGACTAGGAGACGCGAGACCGCATTTCGGACATTGTCTCAACAAGTTTGAGTTTGTTCTTCCCTGTTCCCAAAGAGTGAATAAACCTGAACGAGTAAATGACAAGTATAAACCTGCTAAGCACACGATTAAGCTTGTTTAGACAATGTGTGCAATGCGGTCTCGCGGCTCCTAGTCATAGAATGAATAGCAATTTCGTTGAAGTGCAGACAAATAGGTTGCGGTACATCAGCTGGAGAAAGCACATATTTTTTCTGAGGTATAGTTCCTACGTATCAGTTTGTCATATTTGGTCTCCGCATTATTTTCATAACAAAAAGTCGAGTTCGTAGTGCTGCAATCTCTCGGGAACCTACTATTGAGGCAAAAAGTGTCCCTATATTGATCTGCTAGCCTGCAATCCGAAGTTTTCGAAATTCCTTTCGAAATCGCCGTATGGGGTCTCTAAAGTCTGGAAATGAACGTTTTATGTGTCGTACCGCAAAGTTCTTATGAAATCTGATCGCATTACGCTAATCATGTACATATATACTAAGAAAAAAATGCATGTCTGCATTTGCACATAGTCACTCGTATCTCAACGTAATCGTGTACTGAAGGCTCAATATTCAAATCCTCAGTATATAATTTCATCATAAAAACGTTGTTTCTATCAACTTGTTACCTTTCGTCTACTGAGCTCTATTCTATAAGTTGACAAATCAGTCATGAAATTTACGTAATTAATAAATCGCCGTTAGTACCATCACCATAATAAGCTTGTTGACAATAAATTGCTACGGATAATAAGCACCAAAACTAGCCCCGTAAATTTGAAAATTTTGATTGTGCTTTCAAATAAACCTTTAAAATTTGATCCAACTGGCTTGGCTGCTGGAAGGGAGAGAGGGGGGGGGGCTTCGTGACCTAATTAAGGCTAGGTAACGATCAGAGAGCACTCGTGCGAGAGAGACGCGGGTACGTCGCGGGCGAGAGCGGCCTTAATCTGGTCCCAGAGCTCCGCCTTTTCGAAGCCAAGCCAGTTGAATCAAAGGTTACCTCTCTGATTTTTGTTTATCCGTCCATATTTTGATTTTAGCTGCATATGTTATAGGCTTACTATGCTCAATCAAGAGCATTATTTTTACATTTTGAGAAATCATTCCTGAAGTTTGGACGATTTCTCAAATTTGGACGATTTTACCACTGATGTCACAAAAAATAATTTTACTTAATAGTCTTTTCGAGAACTTTTTTCAATGAATTACTCGAAAAATGTTAGCCTCAACCTCGTAGCGTAACCAATTTTGAAGCCCCGTCAACCGACGACCTCATCATGCTTGAGTTGATTCACGTCATGAAACGGGGACGTACGCTCTTTGTCAGTGAATGCTATGCTGTTCAGGTCACTTGGTTGTAACCTAATTCGTTGCAGTTTACCTCAATAACTCTCAGTGGGACATCTCTGCGCATGGTCGCTTACTCACCACTAGAATCGCTGCACTGCTTTCAGTCCATTTATTCGGTCGTGAAATAGTTTTTTTTTGCATCTAGATTGTGGAATTTTACTGCTTTACTTGGTCTGTCTTGCTGAGAAGTTGGAAAAGATTGAGATTAGAACGCACAATAGGCAGCATAAATTCAGTATTGCGCCGATAAAATTTTCGGAGAAATTTGAATATCCCTTTTTTGCCGGTCAGACACTTACTGCTTCAAATTTTTCCACGAAATTATGATGGAGTATAAACATTAATTTTGAGAACGGCAGATCTCCTCAGATTCTTAGAAGCCTTAAAAGCATACATTTCTTCATTTGTTATTGTCGTGATCTATTCTTCCGCATAAAATATGAAAACTCTGGAAGAAGACCGGGGATGGCGGGAGGGGGGGGGGGGGAGTTCTTAGGCAGTAAGTCCAGTAACTGAGTTTGTGTGAGTAACTTATGGGTCAGGGATGAGGCTTTATGTAGGCCACTGATCAAGCGGCAGTCCATAAAATTCTTTCGTGGCCGAGAAATTGACTATAAGTTCTCGCCCAGTGCCGTATCCGAGATATCTAGTTACTGTAGTGGGCGAGACTATGGAGTCAAATTTCTCGGGCACGAACGTATCATTCAAGCTGTCGCTCGCACAATGGCTTAGTAGGGACTCTCTAATCGGTCTAAGTAATCAGATGTGCTTGGACACTCAATCAATTATGAAATATTGTTGTAGCGGACGCTAATAAGCAGCTTGTCGATGTTCTAGTGTATTTTTACGTCTGCGTTTTTAAGTTTTCCATTTTCTGCCGCATGTGGTCAACATTCTTGCCATAGTAATTTTTTGCATATTTTACTTAATTCGGCTGTTCCCTCTCTTTCTCCAACATTTTTTGCAACACTCATAGTATTTTGATCGACTCATCTGACGTAAATTTCCCTACTCTCACTGCAATGTGCGTTTTTTCTCGCGTTTATTATCGCCACAGATCACTTCGTGTGCAGTGTAATTTACATCCGAATGGTTTTAGTATCGCCGAACGCAAATGGGTTGGTGACCATTTGATGGAGGCGGCGAGACCACGGATGCTTCTTGTTCTGCTCTACATCACAACCGTCAATCATGTAACGGCTACACCCTGTTCATATCGGGTAAGTTAGGGTTGAATGAGGAGGGGAAGGGAGTTCCGGGAAAGTCTTTTTTCTGGACCTTTTTAATGGATAACAATAAGGAGGCCTTAATTAAGCTATTGCCCAAGCGGCAGTTCATAGGGTTCATTCTTGAGCGAGAAAATCAATTTCAAACTCGCGCCCAGACCGTTTTCTTCACGGGAAGCATATAGCCTGGGCGAGACTTGAAAGTCCGATTTTTCGGCCACGAATAAATGATTTGCACTGCAGCTTGGGCAATGGCATAGTCAAAGCCTCGCAATCACTTTTCACCTACTTACTCAGGTCTCCAGTTTAGCTCGCGCACTTCCTTTGAACTAATCCTTGAAGTATTTACACCCTGCCAGACGCTCTCTGTTTGCACTTGCAATAGTCGACACGGTCACTGACTGTGAGTCCATAATGGCTTAGCGTATTTATGCAGCCGTAAGTCTTTCGGCAAACAAATTTCAGTGGCTAGCCGTGTGTCCGATCCGATTACAGAAGCTGTGCCGATTAGCGCCCTTGCGTAAAGCGCCGCTGATCCGAAAATCGCAGGGTTGCCTTCAGTAAGTGTAACGGCGGGGACCAGTTAGCAGAACTACGTCGAAGATAATAAGCGTAAAGAGCTGACAGCTGCAATTATCTGTTAATTGTTGAAAACTTGGTATACTCTGCGGACAATCCAGTTTTTCCCAGTTATACTTCCACGAAAGCTTTTATTGACGCTTTGAAGTTTCCTAACAAGCCAGTCCTATGAAAGTCTTGGGGCTAAAGTTGACTTTCACACGCATGAGTCATCATACCGTACCCGGCAACGCGTCGCAGGCGCGCTCGAGGGCATTCAGCCTACAGCGATGTGGGCGATTTCGTGCAGTGGACTTCGACGAAATTCTGCACAATTTTTCCAGCAACTTTTCACATCATCAAAAAGTATCATCGGCTTCCAGATTCGTGTGGAGGTGAAGTCTTGCCAACTCACCGCGTGGCGGTTCTTGCTAGCGAGAGACTACGAATAGCAATGCTTTGACGTGGAGGCTTAACAAGTTTACCTGTGTCATCGAGTAAAGTCTGCAATACACCTCCACACGAATCTGGGAACCGATCATACAAGTCGGCCAAAGTATGTTCGTTTACAATGACAAATATTCCACATACAAGTTCGGGAAAAACTATGGAATTGAGAAGGAATCCTTTATAAGGCTGCGTCCAAGTTGCCCGTGTCAGCACCCTAAGACGTTTGAGCGCTGTGCTAGCGCCGTGCCAGAACCGCGCTGAAGAAATCGATCGATTGATATGCATTACCTATGTTCATTGCGTCTCGGTTGAGGTTTGGCACAGCGAGGGAACGGCGCTGGCACGGCGCCGGCACACGGGCAACTTCGGACGCAGCCTAGTGTCGCGGACCATCTTAGCTCAACAATTGTCGATAGGAATGTTCACTAGCTATAATCTCAAAAATATAATAATTGAAATGGCTTTTATTACATTTGCGATATTTGCGGCGTCATGGTTATTTCCAAGGTATAACTTTATTTGGCGAACTAGATGTATGGGTTTACATTCAGGCATAATTTTCATTGGCGGATTGAAACTCTTCAATTTGTCGATATGTGAGGTCAAAATAAGAATTTCCCATTTACTCACAGCCTTTTTCAGAATCCACGTGCGGAGGACGTTCTGTTGGAAGTTCCCATCGGAAGCACCCGTGCTCGAAGGGCTATCACCCCTAAGCAGAGGACTTTTGAAGCGTTGCGTATCTACCTGCACTACGATGAATCTGTTCTAGAACTGCCTGCTGAAAAGCAATTGTTTGTAAATGTGAGTCTTCAATACTTGAGGAAATAAAATGCTGGTAACTCTGTTCCCAGAGTTCACTTCTACCCGAAGCTGCCGGTTATTGGGAAAACGTGCTACGGGTCGCACGGAATGATGCGCCGATCCGGTTGCGGAGAAAGTGTATCTCATCATATTATTACTTTCGTAATGAGAAGAAGACCGTAGCATGCGATAGAGGATGTCGAGAATGGACCACATGTGGTGACGCGGTCATTCCTCCCGAGCATTTACTGGTAATGGTTTCTTCTTTATTGAGTTTTAAGTCATTACAAAATAAACAGCCAAACAAGACGAATCGCAAATTAAAAGGTGAGAAAAAATATTCCTGACATCCTTCATGTTCATGTTAGTAACTATAAGGCACTAGTAAGGTAGCAAAGCTAAAGGAAGAGACAATTATGTATTGAATCAACAGTTTACAAAATCATAAGTATACTCGCAGTAGTAGTTCAGTACGATATAATATAATTTTTCTTAGGAGTTGTGAAAACCACGTCCAAGAGTTTGTCTCATATCTGATCTTATTGGTATATGTTATTATTTTCAGGAATGTTCATACTGCCTAAACTCGGATGATTGCTACACGACTGGTGAAAAGGGACAAGGGGTCAAGTAAGTTGTTTTTGGGATTCTTCAACATAAATAGGTACAACGACTCAATCAACTTTTGAGCGGTTGTTTTTGTTATACTACGTCATACTGTTTTTGTTATGCTACGTCATTGTTAGAATTGGTCTTATAAGGAAAGCTACCTAACTTAGCTCGTCCTTTTGGTAAAAAGCATATATGTTCTGAATCAGCTTCAAACGCTGATTCCAAAAATGACATTCCTAGCTGCCATGCACCATTCCGAAGCGACTTATGGGCCTTTTTCTACGCAAAATTGGTATACTACTGAACATGAGAAGACTGCCTGTAGATAAAAATCTGCAAGAAAAAGGTGCTGAGGTATCGAAATAGTACAAATTCAATCTTTTCTTACTAAAAAAAGCTTAACGCAGGTGTATCAGCACTTAAATGATGATGACGTTATGCCCGTGAGTCGATGAGTATGCAAATTTTGCGCAGGAAAAGTCTATAAAACTCGCTTCGGAATGGTGCGTGGCAGCTAGGAATAGCATATTTGGAATCAGCGTTTGATGCTGATTCAGAATGTATATGTCCCTTGCCAAAAGGCCGAGCTAAGTTAGGTAGCTTCCCTTGTTAATTTCCATGAAATGGAACATCCAGAGTCTCTTGTCGTGCCAGCGCTATTCCAGTGCTGTGCCAACGCTGTGCTAGCGCCATGCCGAAACTCGTGTGGACGCTCCCCGTACCGAGCGATCGATATGGCACGGCAGTAGCATGGCGCTGTCAAGGCGTTGAAACGACGCTGGCACACATTGGAAAAGGCAATTCTGAACGCATCTATAGCAGCGGGTTGCGCGTGACAGAAGACGCAATTTATGCATTGTCTGCCTCAAGTCAACTATGACCTAATTGTTAATTTTTCCAATACCTTTTGTTTTATTTGCAGCTTGAAATGATACATTTGCTTTCAAGAAAAGCCTATTTTATTTTTGAGTGGCAAGCCGAGATTTTTTCTCAGTAGTTTTAAATTATAACTTGTACCCCAGTAATTACAATGCTAGCTCACTTGCATGTCGTCTTGAGATTTTATTATTTCAGAGATGCAGACTTCGTCTTGTATGTGACAGCCATCTCTACAAAACGATGCGATAGCGCAGATACTCTTGCCTATGCAGCGCATTGTCAACAAGAGGCAGAATTGGATAGGTACCGCACTACAGCTCAAGCTCAACTTCGAACTGATTTTTTTTTTATTATTTAGACCTGTTGCCGGTCACGTGAATCTCTGTCCTGCAGCGCTATCCACACATCGTCATGATCGGGAAATTCTGCTGTCAACCGTAAAACATGAGATTCTGCATGCTCTAGGATTTAGTGTAGGATTATATGCGTTTTTCCGCGATGAAAATGGAAAACCTAGGACAAGAAGGTGAGTTGATAACTTTATTCCAGAAACTGTCTTGAATGGTTACTTTTTTAGAAATCGCTACGGGAAGCCAATCTCATTGAATAAGGAACTGGGCTATTATGAATGGGACCGTTCCACAATTACAACGATACTTCGGCAAGATTGGTGGACAGGAGAAGGGAAGGTTAGCTGTTTGCGATTCCTTTACTTTTTTAAAGTAAGTTTAGTTGTTATTGTGAAAGTGTTGTTCTGTGGATCAAAATCTGGAAAGAGATTTGTATTTAAAGTCTTTCACATATCATTTATTCTGTTGAAAAAACTCGAAACCGCTTTGCACCCTACAAACAAGCTTACTCGTGTGTTCAACAAGTTACTTGTGATCTCTCAAATCTACGATTACTTGCTGGAAATAACAAAGGATAAGTTTGATGTGACAATTTTTGCAAAGCGGTTTCAATCTTTTGGTTACAGAATAATTGGCAGATATCTTGTTGAGCTATGCGAATTCAATCACCAGCACTAAACAATCTACCTCAGTACCTCAGTACCTCCGTAGTAGATTTTAACAGGCAAATGTTGACAACCTTATATACTTGTCGGAAACAATACTAGGTTTATGCAGTAATTTATAAACATTGCGTTGCTAAAATGGGATGAGATTGCGGTACTTCTTTTCCAGTCTAAGATAAATGAGCTTTCACACAATTATGAGCGAACGAGTTTTTTCTGAGCAGACGATGGGATTCAGTTGGATATTTCTATTGAAAAGAATATTCATACCTTCGCAGAGACGAACCTTTCATGCTGAACTTTCGTAGCCTGTTGATTTCAGCCGTGTCTACAATTTGTGTCAATTAATTACTCCTTTATATATATAACTACGCATCCGCAACGCGACTTGCGCGGACTTCTAATCGTTAAGGCTAATCTAAATGCCCAAGGCATACGCGCGCGAACGTGGCGCGAAGCTGGTTTGACGACTGCGCCAGTGCAAAAGGGAGTAGTAATTAACCTAGGCTTCACACAAGAATGAAAATCCCACTTCCGCAATCCGTTTTGCTCCTATCACGCCTTTTTTCCCATTCGCAAGGTGTACTTAGCGGCTGCACTGAGAAACGGTACCCTTTTTCAGGTCATTCATCCCGTGCACATGATGGTCACGCCAAGAGTACGTGAAGAGGCTCGGCAGCACTTTGCTTGCGATGAACTCGAAGGTGCAGAACTGGAGAACCAAGGTGGAGACGGAACTGCGTTGACACATTGGGAAAAACGAGTGTTTGAGGTGCGCACTCGAGTCCACTTGGTCGAAAAGACTTTTTTTTTCATTTTGTTGATTTCTGATTATTGCAGAATGAAGCCATGACCGGTACACATACGCAGAATCCGGTGTATTCACGGTTAACATTGGCATTGTTAGAAGATAGTGGCTGGTATAAGCCTAATTATGAGTGAGTTTCTTTTTTTCCTGGTTTTTGTAGTTTGAGAGAATCTTTTCACTTTTTTCTTTATAATCGTCTTTTGTAAAGTCTAGTCCCGGACGAAGGGCGGCTCCATGTAAGCTAAGTGTATGCGAGCTCACGAGCGCTAGTGAGGGAGAAGCTCAAACGCCTTTTTGTTAGGGACCAGCTTTTAGTAGTCTGAGCAGTGAAGCTTAGAATTACCGCGTTAGTGACATTGTCCTGTCGGAACGTCCCTTATGGGACTCCCCCGGACGGTTTCGACACGGAGCTGGTTGGAACGGCGCTGGCACAGCATCATATCACGACTCCGGCTGCCTAGATGTAATTGCCGTTTATAGGAACGCTGAGGAGCTGCATTGGGGACGAAAACTTGGATGCGAATTTGCTATGAAGAGTTGCGGTGAATGGATCAATAACAAGATCGAAAGGTTAGTGCATAATCTGACAGATCCATTGGTTGATATAGTGCTCTTGCGTTGCGTACAACACTTAGACGTAAAAAATTGCCATCGGGAGATCAAAACAAAAAAAATTTCATCTCAAGAGCTATTGCAGTGCAAATACTGTCGTCACCGTAGCTGCAGTTTTCATACTAAATTAAAATGTTTGCAATTGCACTTTCAGAGGAGAGATGCCGACTCCATTCTGTAATGAAATTAAACATGATGGAAAGAAGTCCTTAGCTGTTACCAGGTATGTGGAGCTTGAACTTTTTTTCTCATAAAAAATGATGTTGGATAAGCACCAATTTGTAGGTGCACTTCTCAACGTGACTCGCTGGCTCTTTGCAATTTGGTACCATACAGAAAGGTAATTTCTCTAGAACAAGTGTTTTAACATATCTAAGTGTTGGAATTTTTTGGACAGAAATAACGTGCTAGATATTTTACTCACTTACCATTTTATACCGTATTAAAGTCATTCGTGGCCTTTCTCCAGTAGTAAAATTAGATTTATCAATGTCGTCACCAGCATAACTTTTTTAGGAACTCCCAAAACAATTCCGAAATTTTGCGAAGATTGAAGGAGTGTCACCTGATGGCGCCAAACACTATGGGGGGTCTGTCGAGTTGGCCGACTTCTGTCCTTATAGTCAGGTAACAATTTCTCTGGTTCTTTTTCTCATGTCTGTTTTTTGACTTGGGGGTAACATACTTTGTTTTAAGGACTTTTGGCCGACTTAAGTCTAGGTTATATTTGGAATGATAATGAGCTCCAGAGAACCTTGCGAAGTTTTTTTTTTGCAAATTTCATTCCTATTTGCTCTTTTTTAAATGCAAATCAAGAATTTTCTGTAATGGGCAGACTTTTGTGGAGATGAACGAAATCTGCTTCTCTCGAAAAATCATCCTTTCATAGTCTTGGTTCAGGAATTCGAATGGAAATTGCCCAACACTACAATTAGACGTGACTCTCGTTGTGAGCTGGAAGGAAACAATCGCGAAGGAGAAGATATTTTAGAGGTTAGTGCGTCGCTGTTCATCAAGAAAAGATCAGAGTTTACGAGTCCGTCTAAGGTTTATGGATCGTCTTCGCGATGTCTTGATTTCAAGCAGCCATGGCGAGAACGAAAATGTGGTCGGGTCAGATCCCTTTCGCATTATATGGCTGGTTGCTATGAGGTGAGACTTTTGGGTTAATGGCCAACCCGAATGTATTATCAGCAGTTCGGACTTTTTGATGCAGTGGATTTATTAAAAACTTACGAAAACAATCTAGAAATAAAAGGATGTGCAAAAATATTTTTTCTACTTGTTACATTTACATTTGTCTGACTGCGCATGAGTTTCACTTTTTCTAGATAATTCTAAAACATCTTTCTTTAATTTCAAAGTGCAGCTGAGCTGAGTGAGCTAAAGCAGCTTTTTTGTGAATATGCAGGAAATAGCATATTTCACAACTTTTGCATAGAAGAACTCTTTTTATCACGCTGAGAAAAAGAATTTGTAAAAACATCGTATCAGCTCTTGGTGAAAATTTCTTGTATGAATTTTTTTAGCATCTCTGTCAAAATGGCACACTTTTCATAGCTGTTCATGATTCGCCTTTATACCCATGCTATCGAGAAGGACAACATGTGCATATTAAGAGGGTAGGTGAAACCTAATCTGTACTTTTTTGTAAGGAAGTTAGATATCGTGTTTTAAGATTACTGATGGTTGGCTGCGTGAAGGTGTGATTGTTTGTCCAGCTTGTGAAGAGTTTTGTCCGCAATGCAAAAAAATGGAGATGGAAGAGGAGGAGGAATATATAGGTAGGATAGAGCAGATTCTTTGGAAGACAACAATTATAAATGTATCATCTTCGAACTTTTTTTTTGTTTATTGCTCGGTCAACTTAAAGCCTGCGTTCAGAGTCTCGTGCTGGCGCCGTCCCATCTCCGTGCCGCAACTACGTCGACCAATACGCAAGCGTAGCATTGCGTACTGGTCGACGACACGAGGTCTGGCACGGAGCTGGTACGCGCTAGCACGGCGCTGGAGACAACTCTATATGCAATCTAACAATCCTTTTTCCAGGTGATCCCGATCTGGATGAGCCATGTGCTAGCTCTGCAATGTTACTATGGATCTCGCTCACTGCAATGCTCTTCAGAAACCTAGATAACATATTTTGAATACCATCATCAGATCTGCCCAGAACAAAGCACTTCGAGAAACTCTCAGATTGGGGTTTAGTGCTTGGGAACGCTTCTAAATCTCGCAATTTATAAGAATCGACGATGTATCTCATAACATCGCTCTTTCGACAAGTCCGGGTCGATTACGATTGCCTTGTCCTTTGATTTGATTGAAGTGATCTTCTAAATCTAACCCAAGGTGCTCAGAAAATCTTTATTCAGTTGATCGTATAAGTCACAGCTTCTCGATTTTCACCTTTTTGAAAAATCTGAGCTCCACTCAAGATTGTATGAACATTTTCTGTGATCTTATCCCAGACTTGTAGGCACTTGACCTATTGAAGATAGATTTTTCACTTTTTGTTTGCGGTGTTGAATGTGCACGGGTCGTTTTGACACTTAATAGGCGAACGCAGTATATGACTTTCATCAAATTCTATATCTTTTTGTTAGGTTTTGACGCTCTTTATCTCCTTGCATGGCAAAATAGTCTTGTCCGCATATGTGGTGTGAACATACCGGTTCTCTGTGCATTGTAGAATTCTACGTCTTTGTTGTAATGCTCTAGGTTCCTTTGTATATGGCCGAGATAAATATTGACATAGATTTTGTTTGAAGATCTGTTGATTCAGCCTTTTTTACAATAAAAAAAACAAGAGACTGAAATATTAGGTTGATTCATAATTAATGCACGTTTTTCTCACCTCTTCTTCCAAGAGCTGGTATTTGATGTGCAGTTGATTTCGTCAAAAACTTTTTATGCTATCTGAAGGAGCGTTCTTTCTAGTTTCTTAAATGCCCCTTCGCTTTCGTACATCTCCGTTTATTCCAAAGTTCTGAGCCTTTAAATAAAAGAGGCTAAATCCCAAAATTTTTGCTTTTCACTCTTTTTGCCCTAAATCCATAAGGAATAGGCGAATTAATTATAAAAAATATGCATAAGGATTAGGAAAATGTGTGCTACAATTTGCTATTTGAACAAAATTCTCCATGAATTCTCAGCCGAGAAATTCAATTGCGAACATTAATGATCGTTGCGGCCCTTCCGTACCATATAGAACTTTAAAAGCAGTGTCTCACCAAAATTTAGTTGCCGAGATATTTGCATTTTGCAAGCCTGTCGGACCCTGTCTATCACGGTATGGGCTTAAAATCGCACGAAGTTCCCAAAAACCCTGTTTTCTGGAGGCCCCGTGGACGTGGACGTGCAACATGGACGAGTTGTACCTTCCAACTTCAGCCTCAGCCAGGGTCAAGCAAGGGGTGTGGCACACGATCGCTGGTTACGACCCCCCCCCCCCTGATTGCTGTCTTAATAAGACCCCCCCCCCCCTTGAACTATATAAGATAGCATTACCAGAGTTGAGAAAGAGGTCAGGCACAAGTCTTTCGAAAACAACCCCCTCCCCCCTCCCATGAAAGCCCTCAAACGACCCCTTCTTCCTCCTCTTAACCTCTGGACCTCAAAGTGTGACATTCTAGAGGACACCAGCTTTTTTTAGAGAGTTTTCAGATTTCTGAGTGCTGTACGCCCGATTTTCTGTGACTGCACTTTACAATCACACCTAATTAGACGGCTGATTTTGATCTGAATGGGCATATTGAAAGGGCCATAACTTTTTTATGGGTGGGGCGTTCGGCTCCAAATTTCCAGTGTAGCAAGAAGAAGCTATGTACTCAATACTCATACCAGCAATGGAGCGCGTTCTGGATTTTGAAGGCAAGTTAATGGGGTGCGGCACACCCCCTTAAAAGCTGCGGCAGCCGCAGCTTTTAAGGGGGTGTGCCGCACCCATTAACTATATCAAAAAAGCATTTTTAGCGGACAGTATTATTTGTATGAATCGATAGCCTAAACCTTGTAGATTCCATAGGACTGTTTGGAGCCTGATTCGTCTTCTTAGCTCTGAGTAATATTTGGTGAAAGCACAGCGATCAAAAGCGAAAAGTGGGAAAACGAGATTTTGGTTGGCTTCTAATTCCACACTTTGCAGGTCTTCTGAAGCGGGATTCCTGAGGTGTACAAAGAAGGAGTAGTGCTTTGTCTTGAGTCAAAAATGAATAGCTAATCACCTTTGAAACAAAGTTAACCATGTTGGAATTTGACCATTTCATTTAGGTAGCCTAGATCTTGAATCTTCAGAATTCGCTCACACTTTGTCTACAGGGGTTAATTGACATGCTAATTATGGATATGATACAAATATCATGTTATCATTATTATCAGATTACCAAACTACGACCCCCTCCCGTTTAGACTCCTCAATACGACCCCCCAGGTGTGGCGTGCCGCACCCCACGCTTGACCCTGGCCTCAGCCACAGTGGCAGCAACAGAAGGAGGTGGATGCCAAGTGGAGAGACATGTTCAAACGCGTAAGGGGGAAGGCCGAAGGAGTCGTACGCGCGTACCAACTCGCTCTCCGCGTACCACTTTGAGCGAATTGTACTCAGCGTGGAGGGGGTCAAATTGAGTGGGACCTGTTGCAATGGCCTATTTAAAGCTCCCTATCACAGAATATGTGAAGATCCGCGCGACCTCAACTTTGGTGAGACACTGCCTTTGAAGCAGAAGGCGATTGCAGGTCTTTTGCTCTTTTGCACTATCCAGCAAGGGTAGACCTAGTTCATTTGATGGTAGAAAAGCGCTAGGGTTTTCTCGCTTTCCAGCGGAGATAAATGAAATAATTTCAAAAACGACCGATTTTTGAACCCCCGAGATGCCAGAAAAAAGTGAGTACTTTCAACTTTTTTGCGATATTTTCTTTCAAATTTTTTCCGTAAAATCCAAGCTTGGCCTTACTGCTCAAGAGACCCTCGGTTACACGATGAGCGAAGTCTGCTTTGTCCTACTTCATTTGAACATAAGTTATGCTCTCTCAAGTAGAGGCTTCTGAAAAAAGTTGTTGGCAATCTTCAGGCCAGAAAATCTTTTTTCTGATTGCTACAGTCACGCAAAAGTATATGTTTTATAGCCACTGATTTGGTGGTTAGCAGTTTTTATTGCGCCCAGAAATGTCATTTTAAAAGAAAATTATCTTGGTTGAAAGTTGAAGTATAGAAAACGTGCATTAAATATGAATCAACCTAATATAAAGACGCAAAGTGTTTTTAAAGATTAATGCTTCAGCTAAAAAGATTTGTGAATACTAATTTTCAAATCTTACTGAATTGCTGATCACTGCAAAATAGTTCTTTTTGCTGATGTAGGTCGTGTAAACTTTACTTGCATGAAATGAGGGTAACTGGATATTACTATTGACCCGTTTCTTGGTGTTATTTTGTAGAAATGGAATGACTCGCCTGACGTGTTTAACTTTGGTGTTGGCTTTTACGAACTTTTATAAACTTCAATCAACTTTGGTGCGTCTATGGCCCCGGGCAGACTCCACGCGATTTGATCGTCGCGACTGAATCGCGACGAGACAACTGTTACAACATCATTCCATGCCGATCAACTTGCATTTCGGTTGTGATACTTTTCCAGCCCGAAATTTTTGAATGTGAAATGAAAATGAATGGAAATCTTGGCGATTGAGTCGCGACGATCAAATCGCGTGAAGTCTGTCTGGGGCCTATGAGATTTTGCGTTTACGTTTTCTCATCGCCCATCTGGTGGTCAATGGAGAGAAGACTTTGTTTTCGCTTACAAGATTGTGAAGTTCCCGGGCACTTGCGAATTTTTTAAAGCTGACGTAACTTCGAGTAGAATGATCCTTTTTGTGAGAGGCAGCTTTTATTGCAAAGACCTTTTCTACAAGGAACGCCCGTATTACTGGCTTTACAGCATCGTTTGGGTCACTAGCATGCGCAGAAGGGAAGGACGACTTGAAACAAAAGTAGTAAAATACCCACTCGTTGAACTTTCGAAATTCCAATCATGGCTTTGACCACCACGGCTGGCAGGATCACCGCAGGCATAAGCTCTGCTGTAGTTGTACACAGATCTACTGCAACTGCCATAAGAGCGAGTGAAGGTTGAGGACACCATCCGTAAGAAAAATCCAGAAAATTCGAAAAAACGACCATTTTTTGCACATCAAAGAATGTCTCACTCTTGAGCTGATAAATTAGTTTACATCATTCGGACCCATCATCGATACTGGCGATCTCCCCAGAAACGACCATGCTACAAAAAGAATTTTATTCAGAAACAACTTTGAAAACTTGTAGGTTCTAAGCGTGTAAAGCATCGGATGCAGTGGGGCTTGTAGTCAGCAAATTTCCTTTTGACTATTCAAAATTTGGATGATTTTACTCAGTGCAAAATATGCAATAAGAAGGAAAATACTGAAATTTTCATCATTGAAAAGTCATCTTCACCGTACGTAGACTGGAAAGGCTTTAACAACCGTAAAAGTCAGTAATGGCATCAGAACACTTACGTTTTTATTATACCTCAAGGATCTGTTGAGTTAACGTTTAAAAAATGAAATTTTCAAAAAAATGTCCGGGAACTTTTTTTTACAATCCAATATACCTCGACTTTGAAAAAATTCGAAAGGCTATCAAACAATGGAAGGCTATAGGGACACCCGTTCCTTCTGTGTCAACTTGCAGAGTTTAAGACATAATCACAAAAAGGACCGTATGATGGAATAATTCTAAATTCTGTCGCAAGAACCCCCCCCTTCTCGCCAATTCTCCTTGAGTGCCCGAATGGTTTCAAAGTTTTTTTACTCTGCGTAACCGTTTGCATCACTTCTACTGCAATATCGCTCGAATTTTTTGAGCAAAACGACGCAAAGTTGCCCGATTCATGTGACATCACCACAGCGTGGCCATATCTCGCTTCAGAGTGGACGAATTCTTAATCCAAAGGCAACATTCGACTCGCAGAGCGCATATTTTAATATATGGAAGTGCCTGTTTGGACACAGCAGAAGGCCACGTCCACGAATTGTTCCAGATTTTTGCTTACAGTAGATTGCCCACTGAGTGCAATGAGTAAGCACATTGCGCAACGTGCCGTAAGCAGAATCTGAAACGATTCGTTAATTCGATGGTCTCATACAGTGCCCAAACAGGCACTTCTATATATCAGAAGCGCCACGCCGAGCTGCTCAGACAGTCGAAGGGATACCTCCGGAGGGTATATGGCGCGACCCTGCCACTGCAGCTCCGGAGGTATCCCATCGACTGTCTGAGTAAGTCGAATGATGCTTTTGGATTAAGAGTTTTTCCACTCTGAAGCGAGATATGGCCACGCTGCTGTGATGTCACATAAATCGGGCAACTTTGCGTCGTTTTTACAGAAAATACGAGTGTATTGTAACTTCAGAATGCCAAATTAGAGGAGTTCAAGGAAATCTACACATGTTTCATGCATGCGTAAAAGAAGAGACGCAGTAGAAGAGACGCACAACCGAGGAAAGGGTCGGCAGAATCACGGCCTTCCCAAACAACTCAATAGACGTCCTAGAAGGACTGATAGTTTAGACAATGCCACTGAAAGAATCCTTAAAACATAACAACAAAAACATAAAGCGAGGATGTAGAAGAAGTGAGGAAGAAGCCGTGTCCCAGGAAAATAGAAAAACAAGGCAGGGATGATTAAGTAAGGTTAGGTTGCCGGGGTTTAACACAACTTTGCTGGGAACATCT